GAAGTCTGTAAAAGTAGGTGGAACTGCAGTTTGCACTTCAACCTGAGGTGCTAAGAGGCCACAGGGCTCTTGATCACTTCTCCCCACTCTGAAATAACATATGCTACAGAGCTGGCTTTTAAAGGGGCTCAGGATGCAGGTCATTTGTTACATGCTGGAGTCTGAGATACCTCAATTCAGGCAGAGATTTTGGGTGGTGTAGCTTAGCAGGGGCATTATGAAGAATGAAGTGTTGGGTTTGTTACTGATGGGAGCCAAATTGAAGCTAAACTGGGTATAAGTACAGGATCCAAAGTCTGTAAAGTTAATGAAGTTAATGCTCTTCACAGGTTGTTTTTGCATGCACTCCTGGGACTACAGTTCCTTCACCCATCTCCTGACTCAGATTTTTTTTCTTCGGAGGGGTTGGTGATGCTGGAGACCCCAGAGCTGCCTCCTGAGGGCAGTGGAGGGGCAGCTCCAATCTCTGCTCTGTGTGACCAGTGACAGGACTGGAGCTGTGTCAGGGCAGGCTCAGGTTGGATCTCAGGGAAAGGTTCTTCCCCCAGAGGGTGGTTGGCACTGACCAGGCTCCCCAGGGCAGTGGGCACAGCCCCAAGGCTGCCAGAGCTCCAGGAGGGTTTGGACAACGCTCTGAGGGACAGGGTGGGATTGTTGGGGTGTCTGTACAGGGCCAGGAGCTGGACTGGATGGTCCTTGTGGGTCCCTTCCAACTCAGAGTATTCTGTGATTTGATGATATCTTTTGCTGCATGTGCCTTTATGTTCTATAACAATAAAGCAATAAAAGGCAGGTTGCAAGATTGTGAGATGGGCTTAAAAATCTCAGTATGGAGAGGCCTACAAGTGAGCATTGCTTTGTAGTGGTTTTTTTTCTTGTTTCTAAAGATTTAAGTTTCTCTCACTTCACATTTTCAAATCTTTTTCCATACCCAGGCAGAATAGAAACCTGCTTTTTTTTTGGTTTGGGGACATTTTCTGAGGAGAGATAAGATTTTTTTACACAGTTTTTCACATTTGGAGAAAAGCACCAGCTCTGGCAGGGCTTGAGATACCAGCACAGGAGCTGATCCCACAGGGGGGTTAACAAATGGTCAGGAGGGATGTTTACTGCTTTTCTCTGCACAGCTCCAGAGCTGAGGGCCAGGAGCCCCTTGTTCACTGCAGCCCAGCGATGGCCCTGCTTGAACTGAAATCACTCAGAAGGAAACCAGTGGCCTCCAGTTCCCTGTCTGGTGGTGGCTGTGGCCTCAGCTGTTGCTGAGGAAGCAGGACCTGAGCTCTGTTCACACCATCCCCATCCACAGGGAGGTCACTTTGCCCTTAGGGCAGGTGTGACCTGCAGGCAGGGCAGGTGTCAGACACTCACCACCCATCCATCCTTCCATCCCTCCCTCCATCCATCCCTCCATCTCTCCCTCCCTCCATCCATCCTTCCATCCCTCCCTCCATTCATCCCTCCATCTCTCCCTCCCTCCCTCCATCCTTCCATCCACCCCTCCCTCCCTCCCTCCATCCCTCCATCCACCCATCCCTCCATCCTTCCCTCCATCCCTCCCTCCCTCCATCCCTCCCTCTCTCCCTCCATCCTTTCTGCCCCAGCCCCAGGTCACTCAGGGTGACCGTGTGCACCATTTGCTCATTTGGCTTAAATAGGAAGCAAAGCACTCCTGCATGGCCCTAGTCCTCGAATCCAGAGTCTGACAGTGCCCACACCTGCCCTGGATGAATGTCAGCAGCTCTTGGAGAAGCAGTTTGGCAGCTCTTTGCAGAACCCTTTTCCTTTACCTGCTCCATGCTGGGTTTCCACAGGGGGAATGTGTGAACAAGAAGACTTGTTGCCCACGAGCAATTGCCTTCAGGTGGGACATCACTCACCACAGCATCCTGCAGAACTGAAGGTGTGCAGTTATGTTCTGCCTCTGGACACACTTGATTTAGACCTAAGTGGGGCTGACCTTATAGAAAAAACTACAAACTTGATCCTGACCCCAAAAATAGCAGGCAAGGAATGGGAGAATAGCCTTTGGAGTGGGGAACAATGGAATTTCATTTCACATTAATTCTTGAATTACTCTGATATGATGTCAGAAAGGGTTTTCATATAATGTTAAGGTTGAAAGAAGCCTTGAGGAGAAATTGTAACTTTTTTTGTTTACTGTTCAAAGGAATGGAAGTGGTGCCTCAAAGTGTCTTCTGGAGGGAAAGTTTCACTGTAGCAAGTTATGGGATGTGTCTGGTGCAAGTGGTGTGAAAAACTGCAAAGCGGTGCAGAGCAAAGCTGAGGCAGGTACTCTGCAGCAAACAGGGGCTCCTGGGGGGTGAAGAATTGGGAGCAGACTGGGGATAGAATCATCTCATTCCACTCCACTAGCCCAGGTTGCTCCAAGCCCTGTCCAGCCTGCCCTTGGACACTTCCAGGGATGGGGCAGCCACACCTTCTCTGGGCAACCTGTGCCAGGGCCTCCCCACCTTCACAGGGAACACTTTTTTGCTTATATCTAACCTCAGTCTATCCTCTAGCAGTGTGAAGCCATTCCCCCTTGTCCTATCCCTCCATCCCTTGTCCCAAGTCCCTCTCCAGCTCTCCTGGAGCCCCTTTAGGCCCTGGAAGGGGCTCTCAGGTCTCCCTGGAGCCTTCTCTCCTCCAGGTGAACCCCCCCAGCTCTCCCAACCTGGTTCCAGAGCAGAGGGGCTCCAGCCCTTGGAGCATCTTTGTGGCCTCCTCTGGACTTGTTCCAGCAGCTCCACATCCTTCTTGTGTTGAGGAACACAGAGCTGGAGGCAACACTGGTGGATGGGTCTCACTTAAGCGGACAGAGGGGCAGCACCTCAGAGCTGTGGTGTTTGTTTGATGGCAGTGCTGTGCCTGCCTTTCTCTGGTGTGTTCCTGTGGGACAGCAGAGCCGGGATGTCCAGCTCGGGTTAAAGTAATGGTAGAGGGTGGGATTCAGCCTGTGGCACATGGATGCCTTCCCCTGAGATGAAAACTCCCTGGAGTCCACCAGAGAGTAACATGTGACTCCACTGATGTCACCTTCACATCACTCCTCATGGGATGAGCTCCCCAGAGGTGCCTCTGTGCTGCATATGATGGATGAATCGCACACAAAGTGCACTGGGAGGGGCTTTGCATCACCAGAGCAGCACCTGTACTCCCTGCACTTCTCTGAGAGCTGCTTCTGGACTGACTGGGGATCAGCAGGGATCAGTCTTGGAGTCTGAAGTGCAAACAGAGGGGTTGAGGGGAACTTGCAGGTGTTCACATGGGTGCCCACAGACCAGCTGTGCCTTCCTGTGGGGCTGGTGTGTCCAACAGAGCCTGGGGGCCCTGCCCATGTCCGCGGGTGGGTGCTGGCCCTTGGTGGTCCCACGGCCCCAGAGGCTCTGGAGTCTCCCTTGGCTCTGCTCTGGAGGAGCTGCCTCGTGGCTGGGCTTGTTAAAGCTGCTCTAGGTACGAGTGTGACCCCAGGACACTGTGAGGGTTTGGTTCCCTGTCCCTCAGGTCCTGCTGGAATTTCCATTCAATGACATTTACAGGAGTGCACAGAAATGTTGTCTGAGTTCTGGGCATCCGCCCAAGTCCATTTGTTGGTTACTGTGGTGGGGTCTCATGGGACACAACCTGAGAAGCCACTGCTTGGGAGTGGGGAAATTCTCCTTTGCCCAGCTGCTGAGGAGAGCTAAATTCTTCAGTGTCCTGGACCATGAATGTACCATTTTGGTGGGTTTGTGTCTTTGGACAGATCATGGATGAATTACAGCCCTTTTTGTTTTCTAGGAGACCAATGGGATAAAGTGTGTTTAGGCTAAAACCTATTTGTTCCACTTTTGGGGTCTTCCTCCACATACACCCTGCTTTTTTTAATTTTTGGGCTAAAGACCTTAAAGAAAGCAAAGGGCCTTTGCTCATACAACATGTTGAGGTTAATTCTGACCCACTGGATCCCATACAAACTGCTTACACTTAGGAGCTCGGCATGAGATGCTGCCAAAGGTGACTTTCATGGCGCCTGGTAAGAATCTAAACCTTCTGAGTGCCCCTGAGTCAGGTACAACTCATGCTAAATGTGGAAGAGATGCTTTCAGAGTCTTGTGTCATCCATTGAGAACAGGAGGCTGTTCCTGTGAGGCCACCCGGATGCACTGCTTGTTCTGTGTCATGTCCTGCTTCATGTGCCTCACTTACACTGCTACAAACAACAAACCAAACACACTGCTGTGCCTCCAGCCTGGTGCACAGGGACTTAAATCACTTGTTGTTATTGCCTGTCTGTTTGTATTTTTTTAAGCATTTGTGTTCCACCAACACACTCAGAGTGAGTATTCTCGAGGGGGAATTTCCTTCCTGATAAACAATCCTGTAGTGTGATTCAGCAGGAAGGATGTGGTGGTTAAGGCACTGGACTGGGATTTGGGAGACATGGGTTGTCTTTCCAACTCTACCACAGTCAAGATGTGATGAGTGGAAGGGCAAGCAAAACAAAGAGAAGGAGCTGTTTAGCTGTGGCAAAAACATACTTTCACGTGGTCTGTCTGATTTGGGGTTAGATAGGTCTGGGGTTTTCACAGAATCATAGAATGTGCTGAGTTGGAAGGGACTCATCAGGATCATCAAGTTAATTCCTGGCCTTGTGCAGGAGTTTTGTTTGGCTACTCAAGTAAACAGCATTAGGACTCCTGTTTGTGCAGTTCAAATTTGAAAGCTCATCTTGACCTGTTCCAGGAATCCAGATGTGGGTTTAACTACACGTTGCTTTAACGTGCATGAGATCTCAGATGCCACTTTTCAGTGTTTCTTGGTTGACTTAATTCAGTTCACCGTCGAATTCTCTGATCTTCAGGCAGTGTGTAACTGTGGCTCCTACACCAAGTTGTACTTGCACGTAGATTCTCCACTCTCTTGTTAAATTCAAGGACAGCAGACCACACACGAGATATTCCCTTTGTCATACAGGGTGAAGTTCCTGCAATTTGACAGTAACTCTTTTTTCTTTTTAGAAGCAAGAGCTTGGAGTGCCATCTCTGAGTTTAGACCTCCAACCTCAGCATCCTGATCTGGTGCCGCCTTCGGGAGGATGAATCAGGACAGTGACTCAAGTGATCAGCCCACAGGTGAGTTTTCTGCTTCTCTAAGCGTTTGCCTGTCTTCTCCTGTTCATTCAGCATGATTTGCTTTCCATTTATTTTCTTAGTGCTATTGGAAGAGAATACTGAGTCACAAATAAAGCAAAACCTGTGAATCAGTGCTAAATTGCATGCCCTGAAGGTTATTGGATCTTTGAGGCTTCCTGTCCACATCTGGATATCAGAATTCTTAGAATTCTAGTCCAGGTTGAAAAGTTTACTAGCAATTGTTTTTATAACTTCTCACCAGTTCAGAAGCACACAGGGTTTTATTACTGTGTTACACAAGTCATTCAGCTTTTAGCCATAGTTTAATTCTCTCTCAATTGCTTTGGTACTTGGTTTCCCTGTGCAGAAAGGGAACACGTGCACACACACCATTGTCACGGATGTCCCATGAAGTCTCAGTGTCGGATCCTTGCTGGAGACATTAAATGGACAGGAATTTGTTACTTTTTCTGGCCCAGACCTACCATAAATTTCCTCTCCTATTCCATCCCCATCTTTGGTTGTTGGAATTCAGCCTCATTGAGTGCTTCTGGCAGTTTCTGCCTCGGGGCAGGGCCTGGGAGAGGCGGGTGCCAGAGGCAGTGCCTGTGGCCTCCCAGGCTCTGCTCAGCCTGGGCTTTTTTGGAAGTGTCAAGGGGCATTCTTAGCTCTGACGTGAGGGCTATTTTTTGACAGTTCCCATTGTTCCCCACTCTTTGTTCATGGGTGAGGTCTTTTCTTCTGAGGCCTTTGTCAGAAATACAGGCTGTTAGGAGGGCTGTCTGCTCACAGGTTTGGGGAGCTTTCTTTTGTTGTCAAGAGTCCTGAGAATTTCTTCCTTCCTTTTTCAGACTTGCTTGGGCAAACTGGCCCAGACAATATGTGCCTGAGGGGATTGCTGGGATACCCCCTTGCTGGGACAGCCAGGAGAGTGGTCCTCAGAACCACACCCTGTGTGCTGTGCTCTGGCTGTCACAGGCCACGTGGCTGTAGGCAGAGCAAGTTCATGAGTCTGGGGTTCTGAACACCTGCCTGCACTAAAGCCCTTGCTGTTCTCTGTGGGTTTGAATCTGGGAGCTCAAGAATGGAAAATTTTAGAAAAATTCCTGTGGTAGGGGGAAGTATCTATTCTGTAATACTCAGCGTGTCTTATTACTGTGAACAGGTGATGATTACACGTCGGGATGTGTGGAGATTCATGAATCATCCACAAAAGGACATTGGGGCTGGGTTTTTGGAAAAAGGCTTTCAAGGCAAGTCTCTATAACACATCCTGGGTGCTCGTGAGAAATGTGCAGTCAGAATATTCATAGATGGCTCGTTGCAGCCTTGTGTTTTGTAGGGGTAATGAATGTTGTGGTTTCAGTTTAGATCCACTCTCTAAAACAGGCACAGGAAAGAAGTTGTCCAGAGGGACACATTTCCAATGTGTGCATTTTACACCTTCTGTTGAAGTGCTTAGTCCTGGTTACTCTTGGAGTCAAGTCCTGGGTTAGACAGGTGTGATCCACTGGGGATTTATATCTTGGCTGAAGATAGGGATCTTCCACTTTGGGCCTCCATTTGTTCAGCTTCCAGCACCACCTATTGAGTGTTCACTTCATTCTGAGCTGCCACTGTAACTATACTTAGAGAGGAAGGATATTATAATCTTGTGAAAGATTAAAATATTGTTACTGTAATCCAGCTGGAAGGGGAGAGCTTTTCTCAGGGTAGGAGACAGCCAAGGTTTTTCCCATTCTGTCCTCCCCTTGTATACAGGAAGGAAGTGCTGGCAAAGGCCCCCCGGGCTTCCTGTCGACTTGGGAGCACATTTCCAGACACAAGCTTCTCCACCATCCATCACCCAACCCGGCCAAACAATCGTGGCAGCGCCAGGGGAAAAACACCCGGCTGGGATAAACAGCAGGGAGGAGCGGGAGCAGCACCCTGGGACCTGGGCACGGGCCAGCTCCTGCTGTGGCTGTGTCTGACAGCAGGGCACTGGGCTTCCCTTCCCTTCCCTTTGGAACTGAGAGCTTAATGGTCAAAATTCCCCCTTAGAAGAAGCAGCTTACCAAAGGAAAAAGAGGCGGAAAGAAGGAAAAGGGCTGACGTTTAGTAAAGAGGTTGTGGAGGCACTCTTTACAACACTGGCAGGTTGTGGAGCCTGGAGCCAAGGAGGTGGCCAGGGATGCTCCTGGGCATAGAGCACCCCGGGGTGATGTGTGAGTAACTGGGATGGAGGCAGAGCTTTCTGTCAGGTCTGCAGGGCAGGCAGTGCTGAGGCAAAGGCCATCTGTGATGCCTCAAAGAAGGAGGAACCAAGTAGGGTGGAAGCCTGACCTTTAACTGAATCATCTTTGCTGAATAGGATTCTCTCCAAGAAGATACTCAGAACTGAACTGGGATCTTCTTCTCTGTGTCACTGCTTTTGTTTAAACTCTGCATTTCAATATTTCAGTAATACTTTCAGATCTGTCTACTCTGTAACCTTTTTTTAACTTGAAACAACTGTTTGGGTTTATTTTTTTTCATTATGGTTTTAGTATCCTCACAAACTTTGAGCTGGGAATTTCTCCCTACAACTACCTTAAGGAGGTTATAGTGAGGTGGTGGTTGGTCTCTTTGGTCATGTCCCAAGATACAGGATCAGAAGAAATGGCCTTAAGCTGTGCCAGGACAGATTCAGATTAGATACTCGAAAATATTTTTTCATTGAAAGAGTGTTCAGGTGCTGGACTGAGTTGCCCGGGGAGGTGGTGGAGTCACCATCTCTGGAAGTGTTCAAGAGGAGCCTGGATGTGGCACCTGGGGACATGGTTCAGTGTTGAACGTGGTGGTGGTGCTGGTTGACAGTTGGACTTGATCTTAAAGGAATTTTTCAACCTTAACGATTCTGTGATTCTGTGACTCAATATTTGAGGCATAATTCTCCTTCCACACCTATCCAGAATGCTCTGTGGGTAAGCTGAGCACCTGGATTGGTCAGTCCAGGTGTGAGCATCCTCACAGACAGAGCCTGCTAACATTACCGTGTTCTCACTACTTTCGAACCACTGATTGTTCCCTGGCATGAGATGCTCCAAAGCCCCCCCTAGTAGGTTGTCCAATAGCAAGAGGACTTGTACATGGGAATGGAAAGGGAGAGATGGAGAGACTGACCACCAAAGCCCTTGTGCCTGCCCTGCTTGTTTCACACTGATGCTGCCCTGCCTGAACTGAGCTCTGTGTTTGAGCCCAACCTCAGGCTCAGCCAAGCACATCAGCTGGTGAATTAGTGTGGAAATAAAACACCTCCAAGACTTCTCCATTTGGGTCATTGGGGGGTATAATTCAAGTTAAGAGTCCAGCCTAATGGTAAATTTGGAATTTCCCCTGAAACTTCAGCAGTTGCTCATAGTGTAAGAAAATATTTTGTGGGGTTACTTTTTTCCTGAATTAACTGATGCTACAGGATTCCATCAACCTTTCCTTAGACTTCTCTCCCTGAAAAAGCCTCTGTCAGTAATTCCTGCAGTATGACCACCTTAGCAGTGTGTCCAGTGTGCTCAGGGTCAAAACAGTATTTAGTTAAGGCTTTGTTTTGGCAAAACTGGGATAAAACTTGAATACGAGTGTAACCTCTTGAATTAAGGAAAGAGTGTGTTGTTTATTGAGAAGGTTTTTAGGCTGGAGTTGCAGAAGTAACTGGTAAAGACTTCCCAGAAGCAAATTATATGCTCCTGAAATCTGCCCATTCTACCCCTGCATGCACACTGACCATGGGATGGGGTACTTGTGACACATCTTTCTACGCAGTTTATGCTTTCTGTACTTTTTTGCTGTGTGTAACTCTTAACAGTCTTAATAACCAAAAAAAATCCCCAGCTCTGTGCTGGCTACCTGCAGGAGCACCTTCTCTGCCCAGCTATATGTGCCTTTCTGGGGTTCTTTCATTCATTCTCCTGTTTCACATTTTTATTGTCCTTTGTCTGGGCTTACAACAGGTGTGGGGTGGGCAGTAAGCTCCTTAAATGCCTTTACAGTACTCTGTGGGACAGAAATTATTTCTTATTTAAGATCTTTACAGAAAGCAGGATTATGGAGCCCTCATTTAAAAACTGAAAGCATTTCTACAATGCTAACGATTATTTTTAAGTCTACCAGAAATGCAAATGAACAACAGCAATTGAAAAAGAAGTTACTGGAAATGGGATGGATAATAAATAGCAGTACCGGCTGCATGGTTATGAAAACATTACCCCACAAACTCACCCATCTGGCCTAGAGCTGGGGAATGGCAGGTTTCCCTACTGCTCAGCACTGAGTGTAGGTGCTGGCAGTTGAAGCTGTCAACTTTAAAATTAAAAAGGCAAAACACAGCAACCTGGTTTCAGGTCCTGCTGCAGCCCTGCAGTCCCCAGCCTGTTCGGGGCATTTGACTCTCTCATTTCCCTCTTTGGGACAGTATTAATCTTCTCCTTTGTGAAGCTGTTTGACTGTACCTGGGAAAGTGCTCATGTTAACAGCATGCAAAATTTCTTAATTTCCTTCTAGAAAATAACTGGTTGTGTCTTTGCTTGTTCTGGCCATCCTGATGAGAAGAGTAGAGGAGACTGAGGGGAGAGCTCATGGCAGTTCCAGCCTCCTGGGGAGGGGTAGAGGAGGGGCAGGCTCTACTCTGAGGGGACCAGGGACAGCAGACAGGGAATAGTCTGGAGCTGTGCCAGGGCAGGGTCAGGTTGGATCTCAGGAAAAGGTTCTTTCCCCAGAGGGTGGTTGGCACTACCCAGGCTCCCCAGGGCAGTGGGCACAGCCCCAAGGCTGCCAGAGCTCCAGGAGAGTTTGGATGATCCTCTGGGGCACAGGGTGTGACCCTTGGGGATTAGCCTGTGCAGGGCTGAGGGTTGGACTCGATGGTCCTTGTGGGTCCCTTCCAACTCTGCACATTCTGTGATTCCGTGAGACATCACTTGAATGGGCAGTGGGTGTGATTCTGCTTTGTTCCTCCAGGCACTGCTCTCTTAGTTATTTTATTA